TGGAAAACTTTATCAACACGTGGAAAAAATGTTTTCACAATATAAGTAAATATTTTGAAATAGCAATTCTTTATTTTACTTTATCTCCTATCTATAGAAAATGTATACACGACTTAAGATTATGTTGACATTGTTCCAAGATTTTGGCAAGTAAGTTGTATTTCCAGTAAGAGAGTTTTATAGGGGCGAGGTCACAACAACAGTCCTGAATAAGTACCCCGCCAATTTTATTGGTTAAGGTGATGGGTACTAGGAAGCCACCCCTGCCCCCTCAAGGGCTCCTAAAAAAATCGATACTGGGTATCATTATGACAGAAATACGTTGTATAGCATACTTTGAAATAAATAGTACATTCACTAATCAGTACTATTTGATTTATAGTTTTGGAGGTGTTTGAGGACAAAGTGTAACATTACAATTTCACAGGTGGCGAGCACCTGATATACTCACCCCTCCTGCGTCCTGGATAGGCCTTTTGCAATAGATTGAAATGTGAATTATTACTGGATGGCCAAAAAAATTGCACTTCCTTTATTTAAAGATGTTTTGCTGACTTACTAGATACTTTCGATTTCAAGATACGAAGCATTTTAAAGTTTGTTTGTCATCAAGCAGAGCCTTCCCCAAGGGACCACAAGCTGAACTGATTCGTTATCAAAGTCATATATCAGCACGTGACTGTTTGTTGCAAAAGGCCTATTAGCCGTTCAGGGGTTGAGGGAAAAACTGGGTCGAGTTGGCATTGCCAACTTAGTGACTTAGTGACTTAGTGACAGGAACTTTGTAAGAAAAGAAAGTTTTCCAACTGAGCCAAGTACGTGGGTTGTCTATTCATTAAGGATTAGTAAGCTTTTCAGCCGGCTATTCTGGGTTTTTTCTGCTCTTTCAAAGTACAATTCAAGCGGCGAAGCTATCAAAACACGACGAAAATCTCAGACAAAATTGAATATTTTTCAACAAGCTTAATTTTGAAACAGCTAATTATGTGACATAAAGCCGAGGTTTTCTAGCTAGAGGTAAAAACAATGCACTAGTCTTTCAAACACTTTAGCTTTGCAGTTTAACTATTTAATCAAGACGAAAGGCTTGGACTATTGTGAGATAAACAAAAGCGTTCGCATACACCATTTAAAGCAGAAATAGGGGTATAGATATGTCTCATTTTCTTGCACCCATCCACTAGCCAAAGGACCTACCCCAAAAATTTCCAATGGATTTTCAGAAACTCAATCAAGTCAGAGAAAAAATGCAAGTTTGTTTTTAGTTCTAAAGAGCTTCAAGGTTCATTGGTTATGCTGTCTCAATAGCTTTTGTGTTGAGATCTTTTGTATTCAGTTTAAATTTACGAGGAGTTCATGTAAATAAAAAAACGTCAAAGACAAACTCTGCGTGCACAAAAAAAGCAATCCCTCTATAAATAACGAAAAATTTAAAACTAAAACATTCAAAAACTATCTTGAGGACTCTTAAATGAGATATCTTATGAATTATTTTCTTTTTTTTAAACTTTAAACGCTAGAGAAAGTTGGTAAACGTTTTAATGTTAGTGAAACTTGATAAATGAACCGTGATAAATTATGAAGATCATTATCAGATGCGTGCGGTTTAAGATTGTTTGGAAAGGTTGTGATGATACATGTAAAATTCAAAAGTATTACAAGAACAAACTATATAATTAATCTATCCTGTGTTTCTAAGTACTTCGCTTTAGCTTCCTAGCCATTAACCTGTTTATAAAGTTCATGGAATTTAAGTTTAATATCTTTAGATTAGAATACGTGTAATCTTACCCACTTCAGGAATTCACTTAATTATTTTTACAGTAGTTTTAACTACGAGGACTACCAGAATAATAGGAATTTTCAAGCTTTTCTAAATAATTCAAGCCAAGTTAAAGGATTTCACGGCTTGGTGGATTAAATTTTTGATGACAACGCAGAAGTCCAGTGCGGAAGGCAAAATAAACTCCTGGTAAACGAATTGCAAAATTAACTTTAAATAAAACTTCCCCTAATTTTTTAGTATCTCTAAAAGTGAACCCGAAATAGTGTAAACATTAATGTATTATATGTTGCCAAGAATAATATTTAGTTCAGTGATTTCAGAAGCGCAGAACGAGCAGTAATTCGAAGGTTCTAAACAAACGCGTACGTACCGTGAAAGTTAATAGTTTTAAAACTTTAAAAGAAAATAAGAATCACTCACCACTAAAACTCGAACGGCGTCTCTTGGATTCAACAGACAAGCAAGAGCTTCTTACCATCTTTGTAGCAGTAGTTAAGTTGTATTTTGTGAAGATATCACGAGTTTGCGAGTGTTAGGTTCAAATAACCCGCCATCTTGTTCTCACCTTCTCTACGACTGAAAGCTTCCCTTGATCCTTCTGCAGTAACACAGGAAGCCCAATGGTCAGAGTGGTCTTGACCCCAAATAAACATGACGTCACTGCTTGTTTATGTAGGGGATAAATCGCCAAATCCAATAGAAAATTCAACTAAATTTGCTCCTAGCGAAACAGTTTAATCTAAAATGGCCTGGTTTTCAGATATAACAGGTGTTAATATGTACTAAAAAATATTCTGAGCGTTTGCTGGCTATTCTACTTCTCTTCGTAGATTGATAGGGATTTTAGGACAATTTTCGGTGTGAATTTGTGTTGACTTGACCCCCTCCGACGACCATGATCCTTTGCGTTTAAACAATAGATTGTTGAAGATTGTATTGATGTGACGTCATAGTGAATTAGGCCAATTGAGGGTCTCCAATTTTGGGGTATTTTTGAAAGTTATCATTTCAACTATTTCAACCACATACTCTCATTTCAACTATGCTTTAGTTGTCCCTATTCAATCATAGTAGCTTACCCACACAAATCATGTTGATTCGTCCTTTCTCAGGCTTGATTTTATTATTTTCAATGATTAACAATCACAACACATTATCTTAGTTACCATGGTGACAGGTCAAATCGATTACCCCTTGAAAAGGAACTTTCCAAAAGTCCTGGATTTTGTATTTTGGTTTGATTAGCTCATTCATTGATACTTGAATGTAAAGCTATGGGGGCAAAACCTTTTGTTGTTGCAACAAATGGTGTCACATTTTTATCAGCAAAAAATAATCAAAAATTGCATCCTTGCTACTCAAAGAAGTCATTGAACCTTTTTGTCAAAAATACCAGAGATTTTTTTGAAACTCTTTATTTGCGAGAATATCAACTGCATTTGATCAGTGTTTTTGCTTTAATTACTTTATACCAGTAGATGGCTATACTAGTCTTTAATCCAAGTAGGAAATACCAACATGACTTGCATAGATTATCCCTTATGAGAGATTTGGCAAATTCTAGAATGAAAGCTGCTAAAAGTATCTACCTTGACCATTTTGTTTTTTCCTTTTTTACCAGCCCAGGTGTAGCCAATGTCTAAAAAACTCTTACTTTCCTCTTGAAGAAAAATCTCATTTCATTCTAAAAGGATGACAATTATCAATGATATTAGAATGTAATATATTTTACATTAATCACACCAGAAGTGATTACTCATGCAGTCTTCAAAGTGCATAAATTGCATTTTTCTGTCAAAAACAAGACTTCATTAAAGGAAACATTTTGAATGGAGACACCACAATGCATAGAGTCTAGGGTAATGCAACAGTACAGTTTATACAAAGGGACCCATTAAGAATGAATTTTAGTGTCATTCTAATTTATTAGGGGAGTATTGTGCAAGTATACAATAATATACAATTGTAAGTGAATAGTTTCAATGCATTTCCTACTAACAAACTCTGCCGGGATGTAATACACAATATAAAAAGTCCATGCAAGGATAATCCAAATCTAATATCTAACAGTAACCTAATTAATAAAATATCAAAAGCCAGAATATGGTACTGTATTTTAACCAAAAGGTCTAGTAGGCAGAAAACTGAGCTCAACTTCAAAAACATGTCATTTTTACTATGAGTGACAGTGCCCAGAATACAAAGGCATTTGTATAACTACAAGAGCTATTATTGGGAGAATTGATTGTAAAAAATGTGATTAAATTGAAGACAAGATATTGCTACACAATGATCAGTCTTAAGTGTTTTTAAACAGTCAATAGGCCTTTTGCAACAACAGGTCACGTAACCCTACCCCCCGTAAAAAGGAATTACAGAAATGGAAAGAGCACTCAATATTAGTAAGAAGCCAAAGTTTCAGCTTATGATATGTAACACAGGAGAAATGGCATTAAATACAAAATCAAATATTTTATAAGGATTTGTATGGGGAAATGTCCTGGAGGGCAAGCTATGCCCACCAGCACATTTTCCCATACAAATCCTTATAAAATATTCAATTTTATATTTAATGCCATTTCTACTGTATTCAATATTATAAGCTGAAACTTTGCCTAATGATTTCTGGTGTTCATTTTGACACGTCTCTTTTTACGGGGGGTAGGGTCCCGTTGTTGACCTGTTGTTGCAAAAGGCCTATTATGCAGCCTCCTTCATAGCTGTCACTAGCATTAATGAGTATAGTAACGCTAGCCTTTTATGCAGAAATCATGAGAGTCGTTCCATTGTCACACAATGTTGATTTCCCGTAAGAGCAGCGTTTAAGATAATGTCCAATAAGTTGCAGTCATGAYGACCTGCCAAATTAGTTTTAGCTCAGTCATACCTTATATCTGGCTTAATGTTACTGGTCAAGATGACTGGCAACAAAAAAAAATTGACCTGAATCTAAAATTCCAATTTTGGATGGGACATTGTCCAATGTCTTGCCCTTATTTTAAGCCTTGTGAGGGGAGAAAATGTTATGTGATGACACTTACATCACCTGCTGAGGCCAGTCTAGTGCAAACTACACTACTTAGCAATGGTCATAGTAGAGGTTATAGTGTTATCAATAAATGCTGTAAAGATGGTTAACAATGAGAGACAAAAAAGTAATTCTAACCTCCCTAAAAAAAGGTTTCTTTGAATGCAGCTGCTCTTGACATAGATGTGTTGCTTTGTTTAAAATTGTTTATTAAAACCAGGCTTGCACAAAACTAAACAAGCCTCTCATTTGGGCTAAAAATCTACAAAATTAAAAATTAACAATTTCTGGTAATGGTCATGTGACCAGCAAAGAATAATATTAATTACATCATTAGCCCTTAGTAATAATACTAAAATATGTTTAAGTTAATCTATGTCTCATAGGAGGAATCTTGCTAAACATGTCTTTTGAAAGACTCCGATTTATGACAAGAAAATTAGCTAGAATGAAGAATTTTATTCTTCATTAATTACTTTAACTCTTAATAACCCACTGTTAATGTTCAAGTTGAGTGATGTAAAGCAAAGCAGTTTCCTCACACACACGCTCWAATTGATTGAGGGAAGGTACATTTTTTTATTCGCTGAGTGCTGGGACTTCAGGGGGGTGGTGTCATCAATATTTTGGTGCGTCAAACCTTTTTATTTTGATTAAAGCTTTTGTATGTTGACTTAATGGGAAGATCATGAATTTCTTAAGGAAAGATAGAGGGAGTCCTACAATTGTTTTAAAAGAGTTTACTGCAAACCACCCAGCCCCCCTCCCTTCTGATAAAAACATACCTTCCCTAAATAAAATCTTTGCTAAGACATGGACACATGGTGAAACAGTTGTGAGTGACATTCTCAAGGTTTTTCAAGGGATGTCAGGGAAAGAAACTTTTTCTTTTAACACAATTGTCAATCAAGGAATGCTTCCAAATTCTTGCCAGCAGTCTTTTGCCAACATCCAACTGCCGTTTCCAGTAATGTTGGAGGCGTAGCTACATGATGAAATTCTTTTGAAATTGCTGGCAATAGTGTATTATGTAGAATATTGTATATGCAGAACATTGTACATGTTGAAGTGAACAAATGGTACGACTTTCTTTTTTTTGTTTTGTTTGCAGCACCATATATAACAGTTGCACCTGGTGTCCATGCCCTAGCCTGCCTGTGCAGACGTTTTTTCTTGTACATTCCCTTGAGAGGTTATTATTACCTACTTGATTATTCTCAATTTTTCACCATTTTTCTGCTGTTGCTTGGCAACAGTTGTCAAGAACATTGGACTGATTTTACTACTGTGTGACAATCACTCAACTAAGAAAATGAAAGTGGGCAAACAAAAACTTTTTATCCTTTTTTGCATGGAGATTTCCAATGATGACCACCTTTAAATACTAGATAAATCATCAAGTTCATCTTAATCTCAAATCTCCTAGAGAAGTGTCTGAATTCTGATGAAAGTGAGATCCAAGTAACAGCTGATCCTCTACTGAAGTGAGAAAGGGGTCGTCACTTCTTGATGGATCAAGATCCCGTTGTTGGTACACTGAATGTTTAACTGAGTTATTTTGAAGATATGATGGGCTGACTGGACTTAAAGTTGGCGATAAAATGTTACTCTGTTGATAATGAGGTGTACGATCAAATGTAAAGACATTGCTATGTGATGAATGAGGAGAAAGATGAGGTGACAGTGAAGAGAGTGACGCCTGAGAGAATGGAGATGTCCCAATCCTAGAGAGGCTGTTCTGGGAATTAAGAGGTGATGTGTAAGTATTGCCATTGGTGGAATTAACAGAGTGCCATGATTTTTGTGGAGACGACAAGGCCGATTCCATAGTCATTTCAGAATGCGATAATTGTTCAGAAGGTAATCCATTTCCATGAGATTTAATGTCACTTCCACCCAAGATTTCTTGTGGTGATGAAAACATTGGGTCATCGATTAATGTCATGTGATTGGACATTCCTTTACATCCGTTACTCAGAGTACTATGTTGCAATAGTGTCGGGGAGAGGATTCCTCCTCCCACAGAATTCAATGGCTTGGTCTTTGTTACCTTTTTAGTTTTTGTAACTTTGTTTATCTTTTTGTGACTGTTTAAGAGTGATATTTTTGATTTATTCACCACAGCTTTCACAGGTGAAACCAAATGATTGGAATTGAGTAAAGAGTCACTTTTGTGATTTTCTGTTGGGGTAATAACAGAAGTTCGTACTGAAGAAGGCAACCAAATGCCTGTCTTTTCAGAGCCGTTCTTCTTTATATCAATGTCGAATAGCTTTTCCTCTGGTGAAACACCATTTGGCAAAGTAGATAAATTATTTGAAAGATCCTCGTCACACATTTCTGGCAGTAACAAATGATCCTGTTGTTGCGGCTCAAAAAGAGATGAATCAAACTGTGACAAGTCTCCCAGTTTTGGAGATTCAGGGGATTGCTCACTAGTATGTGAATAGTCTGATGACATCTGCATGTCTAATGAAGGAGAAAACACAGGAGTAGTACTACTCGGACTGAATGTACTATTAAGAGGGCTTGATTTAGCCAAGTCTTTAGCAGGTCTTGACTTACTGGGCCTTGGAGTGGGTTTTTTGTTGGATGACTTTTTAGCCTGTTTGACGGTAGTTTTGGTTTCAGCAGTGGTGGTTTTAGATTGTGGCTTTTTTCTTGGTTTCTTGGTTTGTTGTTTGCTTGACTCTGCTGCTGCTGCTGCTTGAGCTTCCTGAAACTTATCCTGAATAAAAGACATTTGAAACAGTTTAATACATAATCATCAAAAGCATATTTTTAATTTAAACATAATCATCATACTTGTTTACTTGGCTTTGATGTAGCCCTGCAGTATCCTATCTACAATGCTGTGCAATGACTTCATACAGTTAACACACAGCAGATAGAAAACCCATGTTCAGTGGCATTATGAGAATATACAAAATATAATTGCAGCCAGTACCCACTTGACATAGACACCGTGCTATTATATGCAGTTATTCTTGTATTATTAGTATGCCTTAAATTAAACAAATCCACTCATATGATCAGCTATAGGGGCATTATCTCTAGTCCCCTTCAGATCTGTATTAACATTTAATTAAGGGTTTGGCCTTAGGGACAGACCATTAGAAAATTGATGGGTAGGCTGGGTAAATCAGGGGAAAAAAAACCATTTGAGTATGTACTAACAAAATGTAATCTCTCCTTTCAGAAAAGAAATAGGGGTCCTTATAAAAAACATATGCAGCATAAATTTCTGCAACCCTCCATGGATTATCTAATGGTCCATCCCTTATTAGAAAAAAATGTTTTCTACAATTTATCTTAAGCACTTGATACAAGTAAAGGAAAACCAAAAATAATAATGTTAATAATTATTATTTTTGTGGAAATTTTAGAATACACTTCATCATTGTGCTATCTTTCAGGTATACTTGTCTAACAAAGTGAATCTTTACAGGCCCTCCCCTTCTCCCTCCCTCTTCCTCTCCCTTCCAGCCCTCCTCAAGATCCCAACCCCATGATTATTGAGGCTGGCTACGCAGACTAAATAAAGTGTGATGACATACCTTTTTTCTCGCATGCTCTTCACAAAGTGCTCTTTCATGAACAATATCAAAGACAGGGACTGAGCACTGTAAACCTCCAGGCCATTTTGCAGTGCACTGAGAATACAGCACTTGAACTGAATCATTAATGATGTCTATTCAACTAGTTAGGGAGTCTAACATTTCTAAAATAATTTCTAAATGCATTCATGGTACAAGTTGTTTTAAGCTAGGACTTGGTCAATTCAGATTCGTTCAAATTTAAACACATTGTTGCGATACAAAATGCTCTCAAACCCCAAAGCATCATGGCAATTTTACTTGAACAAAAACTGCAAAGAATTGTGGTAGAAAATTTGTTATATGACTCAAAAGGTCCTTGCATTTCAACCAACAAAGCTTACAATAGCTTAGAACCCTGTTCATGATCTATGCGGTATTTTTTATTGCAGAGGATACGGTTACTGCAGAATTTAGTGTAAGGCATTGCATTCTGTATGCAAGCTACACCATCAGAGACAAAAGCACACTTCTTGACAACACATGTTGGAGGAGAACTTCTAGAAAAAAAGAAAAACAGTTTATACATAAAACATTTTGTGCTATAGAAATAATTATGTATAATCAATATCATTTTWAAATGATTTCTTAAAATTGAACTATTTTTTCTACTTCTGGATTTTGCAGTCGTTTTTGCTAGAAAACGAAAACTTAAATAAATAAAAGTTGGGTAAATAATAATCGTACAGGTGCAAATTTTTGAGACATAAAGCAACTACCCATTAAGAGCTATGGGTTTTTTAATTTCATGAACCATGGAAAAGACAGTTAGTTACTATCTGTGTACAGGTAATTACCTCATTCTTGTGTTTTCAACCACTGAATCCACAGATGCAGGCACATCTGTTTGTGCTGCTTTTAGTAGCGCAGTAGCTGTTGATAGTAATCGTGGGTGGTGGTAACGGTGGGCTCTTAATGTACGTTTTAATTGGTGAAGTTCTCTCCTTAGCCTTGCACTTAGTCTAGAGATCTTAGCTGTTCTTGACTCCATCATGTTTTTTGGGCTATCTGTTATACTGCAATTTAGAAAAAACATCTGCGTCAAAATTAAATAGCAATAGGTATTAGCTAATGCACAAATTCAGGTGTCATTTCTTGATATCATCTACATTAATAAAGCTACATTACATTTTGTAGAAATTATTTATCGTAAACAGAACCGATAATTTGCCCATTTCTTATTATAGCACTAATGCAAGATTCCCATTGAATTTCTTGCATTGTTACTCTTCAGTTTTCAGAATTTAGTTGGCAAAAAAAATTAGTTCTGTCAATTATTATTTGATGGCCGAAGGTTTTAAGGGGGAAAATGAAATGTGCTGCAAAATTGAATAAATGTGAATCCAATTGGGTGAGGAAACTAAATACTGAAAACGAAGGAGCAGAAAACAAGTATAGTATATATTCATATTTGTACTGGTAATGATATTTGTCTAGAGATAGAATGAAAGACGAAATAGAGATTGCCACTATAATCTGCTTCATCATGATGTTATATTGTTGATCATGTTTTACCAGTTCCCATTTGACAATCAGACCCAGGGTCTAAATGGTCTATAATGTCAATAGCTAGTGAAGCCGAAGACTGAATGGACTATTGCCTTGTAGACCATGAGGGTGAGAGGTATAATAATTGTTTTAGTCTAAACCTACAGTCAAAGAAATGCGTGATTTTTCTTTTAAATTTTATTGAAAATACTATCTAAACCCAACATAGTTTTGGTTTTCAAAACCAGCACTTCTCACAAATAGTGGTCTATCTTTAATATACCACTAGTAGCTCAGCCAATGACAGTGCAGTATTTTTTCACGGATGGAACAGTAGATTTAGACTGTTATTAGAACCCAGACACTTACCATTCATTTTCAGTAGATGTTGTACCATTAAGGTGGCTGTCATTGGGCAGCCACACTTGTTGCCATGGAATACTCTCATTATCACTACTATCACTGTCAGAGCTGTCAATTCCTGTAATAATGAGATAATAAAAACTATGAAACATTATCAACGAACTTACAACAGTACATATGTGGCAATTAAACTTAAAAAACATTTTCACCTAACTTTTTTCACAAGAACCCATTATCCAATCTATTTTCATATAATGCAATGCAATAATGCAAACACAATGGGCCAAACTACAAAATGGGCCCCAATCAAAATTGTCTAAAACCTTCATAATACATTCAATGGTACATTACAAACATAGTAATGAGAGGTCATGTAACAAAGTGTATTTTAAGTTCATGATGAAGAATATAGGAAAAATGGCATTATATATAAAATTGAATATTTGGTAAACATTTGAAAATACTGGAATGAAAAAGGTTGCTGTCCAATACAATAAAAAAATACTAATATCAAGGTGCGAATTCCGTTTCTTAGGTTCATTTTGAAGAACTGCCTGGTTTAGAGAGAAATAGGGATAGTATCATAGTGCAAATGTTTTATTTGGAAAGACAGTTACTGTGTGGGAAAGAAAAGCTAGATCAACCTAAGAATATCCTTCTTGAATAACGACATTTTCCCATTCATCCAAGTACCATAAATATGAATAATATGTTAATGGTATAATATGTATTGGTGATGATAGCTCCGAGCCATAAAGGTGAAACTTGTAAACAAACCTTAAGTGCCAAAAAAATAAAATGGGAAAATAGTCAATGAAACGAAAATAACCATAAAAACAAGTCAGCTTCATAAAGACCAATAGGAAACAATAATAAAGAAATAATATTTGGGATTGTTTTCATGGTAACATCAAAAGATTGAGCTTATTGAGGTCTTTTAGACCGTATTGTGTACAAACATATTTGTGTAATGCTCTTGACTTGCGGATAGGCAGAAATGAACATACTAATGGTCTCTAAATATGTCTATAGAAACACAACAACAAAGACAACATACGTAATAAATAAGCAACAAGCAATAATCATAGCTTTTTGTGACACAAAATGTGACAGTATTTTCTAATCGAAATTCTCAGGATTTTTCAGGAATAATAGGTCAATAAGCTGAGTGGAAATCCGTGTACACTTTATCCAATCTTGTGTCAACACGACAATCACAACGCTTTCAAAGTCTTATACCGAAAAGCTACAATCCCGGAAGACATTTCCTTCTTGTCTAGAAAATTAATGGCCACGTTTCCTTACCTTAGACTACAAATAAGCATATGTTTTGTATTTTCATCTACGTGGCCTCTCAAAACGTGGAAACTGGTGGAATAGCTGTGTGCCTTATGACAACAAAATACACGTATCTCTCACTACTGAAGAATTCAGAGAATAAACTACAATTTCGATCAGATTTGACGTAAAAGATTAAGAATTTTCTAGATTCACATAAAAGAGAATCTAAATTTCCTCGAAGCAATTTGGATTCAGGTGAATTTTACTAGCTATAATTTAACAAAGCTTTTTCGTTTGAAATATCGTCGGGAAAGGAAGTTTCGAAGGGAATTTATTTCCTGGTTTCAAATTAAAATGAAAGCAAAAGAAATAAATTTAGATTTTAGGCAACAAAGTTTTGGAAGGTTGAGTTTCTAGAATGTATTGCGAAATAGAAGAAGTTTATGAATCAACTAAAATAAAAATTAAACTCACCGTAGCTACTGAATAAATCTTCTCGGTCGCGTTTCGACATTTCCAAACAGGCTTTTAACTCAGTAATAGCGGGAATATCTGGGTGTATTTTAGGAGGTCGAGTCTTGTGTTTCTTGTGTCGATGTGGTAGAGTTACAGGCGAGACGAAAGCCATGTCTTGAGAGCTATGAATCGAAGAGACATCTGCTCGAGTCGGGGTATCACGCATGGAGTTTACTGTCGATTCTTTGTCGACATGATCATGGCTTTCACTCGCTTTTTTCCGTCTAGTTTTCTTCGGAACTAGACCTAGAACTTGTAAATGACTATTACAATATCTAAAGAGAAGTAAAGATAAGAAAAAATGTAAAATTTCAACAGCAAAATGATGGAAACTATCATGGTTTTTGGTGATGACACACTCGCGCGCGCCATGTTTCCGTTCACAGTGGAAATTTTCTGCCAAAATTTTGGTGTAAAAAATAGAGTTTTATAGTTCAAAACAGCTACAAAACTTACATTCTATCCTCGGGAAAAGGTATAGGGTTCGTACACTGTTGTCCATTGTATTTAGCAACGTACTGGCACTGTTTAAACGGGGCATTTTTGTCCTCTAAAACATGACGGATACAGAAAGCGTAGCCATTCAATCTTCTTTGCTTGCAAAGTTTTTCGCTGTAGCTACAAAGTAGCTTGCCATCTATCGGTGAAGAATGGATGTTTTTCCCTTCAAACATTCCGTCGATTCCTGGTTCTTTCTTGACGAGAACATCGGCTAAGGGAAAAGGAAAAATAACCTTGAATTTCAAGCCAACAAAAGATCTTACTACGTGGTAAATCTTGACGGAAATAAACAGATTTTCAAGCCCCCGTTATTATGAAACAACGCACTATTTTCCGCCATGATCTCATTCTGGTGTAAAAACTTCCAATTTAAGAGAAAGTCATGTTAAGGCATCGAAAACTTCAAGGGAGAAGACAGACATCATAAACAGTACAAGACGAAGTACACCGCGCTTAAATATGCATACAATTTTCCGTGCCACTAGTTAATACAAACAATAAACTCCACGTACTTCGATCCAGCTTTCTCGTATTAYTCAAATCAACAAGGCCAGAACTTAGTCGAATTTCTTCCATAAAGAACACACAGTTCTCAGTGTCTTGGGCCTTCAGAATATCGAAGAACCTTTAGGTTTAGTTGGCAATGGCCATCTTGATCGCCATTACGGCTTACGTAGATATGCTGACCACTCGAGGGCGAATGAAAAAACGCACACCCTCTCAGCGCCCTTTTTTGGAACGCCAAATCGTATTGAATGACACCTTGCTCGATTCCCCAAAAACAATTCGTTTTATTTCGATCACCCAAGATACGGAAACTCATTACAATCGCTGTGCGATCCAAGCATTTTGGGAGCAAACCGTGAATGAAAGTCTGCTTGGATTTGGGATTTGAACGAGAGGGAAATTTGAAATAACGARAGCCCCTCTCCATCATGGTGCTTTTTCGGGCCATGGGCATGGGGCGGGTCACCAGCGTCAGAACAACGCCAAGACGCCATTTTGTGATGCGACAACACAGCTTCATACACTAACCAATCACAAAACGAGCTGTCTCGGGGGCGGGATTTTAATTGGAGAATTCGAATTTGACTGACAGGTTCAAAGCTAATGAATGCCCCAAGATGGCTTCCCAGGRAAAGAGAAATATATTTTTTCTTTGTGTTTTGTTTTGAATATATTAACGATTCCTTTGAATTTTTAAAAGAAATTGTTATTTTTTTACCAAGTGTTTTATTATCTTTTAATAGTGAGATAAAATCGTAATTTCCTAAAGCGAAAACCAGATTCGTGAGTGATTATTTTCGAGCATGCTTCGGTCTCGTTTTCCGAAAAAGTATTTTTTTAAATTGGCTGTGCGAAACCATTAAAGTAAAATTTTCATTTCCTTATGGTGTTGAATAACGTAACCCTTTTTATATAGCTCTGTTAATAGCGAAAATTCTCGAAATTCTTGAAATTTAAAAATTTCAAGACTTTTTAAATGCTAAGAAAGCAAGTGAAAACCAATAAAGTGGTCCATAAAACTTAAAGATGGAATATTTATTAGTCACTACACTTCACAATATTCAATTTCCATCTCAACTCTCCCACCCCCCACCCCCTCCCCTTTTAAGATTATTTGGAGATGGACAAATACAACCGCAGCTGAGGCCCACCTTGACACAGCTTGGACACAAGTTGATTTTTATCCCTTCCCCTCCACTTTTCATTTTGCTCTGCCGTCACCAGTCTCATCTGATGTTATTAATAATAAATGATGAAATGATGATAAATAATGAATTTAATCTATTACAGAACTGTTTTTAAAAACTACTTGTTTGTGCTTTATTTTAATTAACATCACAATCTTATTTTTCTATTTCATATCTTATTTGACTTTCCCATTTTTAAGTGTGGTTTTACGAGACAGTGAAATAAGATAGGCTATCTAAGGCTGCGTTCATAACGTATAGCAGATGGGGGGGAGGGGGGGGGGGTATGGTGGTATGGTGGGAAACTGCTGAAATCCCAATAACTATTTGATCCAGATAACAGTCCCCGGGGGGAGGGGGGACTCCTGGAAAAAAGTACCTGGGATGCTCATCTTATCTCTCAGGGGTAAAAATTCACGATTTGGTATCTTTTAGGGTGTTAAATGCGAATTTTTGAAAATCAGCATTTTCTGGTATCTCTTAGGGTGCCGGAAAAGGAGAGAAGCACTCACCAATGTGACCTATCCTAGGCGCTTTTTATATAAAATTTAATATTATTTGTTGTGGTACCTCTTAGAGGTTAAAAATCATTCAGCCACGCCATTTTTTTAAGACTTTCGGTATCTTTTAGGGGTCTTTTTGAAAATTTCTGACAAGCATCCCCGGTACTTTTTTCCCGGAGTCCCCCCCCTGGGATAACAGCATCACATTATTTCAATTTAGTCTATAGACCTCACCTTCACTACAAACATTGGTTGGATGGGTTTTTTCTTTGAGTTTTTCAACCATTTCTTCATCCACAAATTCAATATTGCAATTTGACCTTAATTGCCAGGCCCTGACTTTGATCAACCCAGAGGATCTTATATGATTATGGAGCATTACCCATTACACCATCACATTTTGCAATACTAACAAGTACAAATATTGGTCAAAAGTCCTAATCTGTTTAAATTTTTATTATTAATTCTTGAAGACAAGATGACAAAACTAACTTCTATCATTAGGAAAGAAAATATCTAGTTTAGAATGAAGGCATATAACCCGTGAAATAAAAAATACTAGTTAACGTGTAATAGTCAAGTAGACACAAAAGAAGACAACGGAATTAGGGTCTACTAATGTTTATTAGTCTAATATCTATTTCATGGGTTTCATGACTTCACTCTATATCCTCTTTATTGATAGATGCATCAAATAAACAAAATTCATCAATGACAACTTTACATTAGTAAGATTAAACTCTACCAAGTGAAGGTCTTTGAACCATTGTCAATAATATATTTAGACTTAAAACTATTTATGATCAAGCTAACCAAACTATATGCAGCGGACTTAAACAAAAGTTGTAGCTTGGGGTTGCTGCATTTTTAGGTTCTTGAATACATTAACTGTAGCTGTAAACCTTTAGAGAAAAGTACATTGGTCTTTCAATGCCTTGCATTCCAATTTTTCTCAGATGATTTGGTGATTCTTTGGTTTTTCTAGTTTTCTTACTTTAATACACTTGCTCATGTAATGGCTAGTGTCAACAATCATGCTGTGAATTTTTGACCTTTTGCAACTAGACATTTCACAGCAATACTAATGAAATGAAGACTCAAATTTCATACTTTCATTTTCTTTTCTTTTCTAAAACAGGAAAAGTCAACATCATCTAACATGGCTGCCACTTTCGTTCCATCCTAAATTGTTGCAAACCATCTATTAGAAGTGAAATTAAATCTATCTTTAAAAGCCTTTTCAAGTCATTCTTCAAATCACAATTGAACAACAAAACCATGTCCAGGTTTTAGCATTATTGAGAGTCAACTTGATTGATAGGTTCTACATGGTTACTCTGTTTCTGCAGCCTCATCTGGTATCTCTTCTATTGTTTCCTCTGCAAGTTTTTCTGCTTTATTTACTATAAAAGAGTAGATGAATGAAGAAGGTTTTAAATTGCTGATAAAACTTAAGTAATAAATCATGCACATTATTGAAGTTGACTAATTAATTCCCCCTAACTGAACCACAGGTGACCAGTCTGCACTGCTAATGTGCCGTCTCTCACCAAGGCAACCTGAGCTTGAATTCTGGGCTTGGTGTTGTATGTGAGTATAGTTGTTTGTTGATTCTCTCCCGTGCTTTGAGGGTTTTTCTCCAGCTTATCTGGTTTTCCTGGACCCTCCTAAAAAAATCAACTTCTAAATTTTCTAATTCAATCTTGGGTTTTCACCTAGTTTTCACCTGTTGTTATTTTTCCATGCTGTAATACAACAGCCAACGCTTACTCACCTCTTTGGCAGTAGACAATTTAGTATTTAGCAAGAGTGTAGATTCATCCTCGATATCTTGCATTCAATTTTAGAATGCGTTTTCTTGATTAAATTTAGCTTAAAAAATTTCTCATGATAACTAGGATGTGAAATTAAAGATGCGTTGCTGGCCAAAATTCTTCACTTTTACACTATAAAATAAAAAAAACAAAAATATTTTTTGCCATCAATTACCTTTCATCTCATCACCTGATACATCTGAAATGCTTTCCTCAGGTTTCTGTTTGACTTCTTCATTTACATTTCTTCGAGGGCTGGGTGGGGGCTGTTTACGAGATCTTCCAGGTGTCATTGGATCATCCTCTAGCTTGGGTGCTGTAGGTCGCTGCTTTCTTGGTGGGTTCAGGTGGAAGCAATAGCAACACCTGAAGCCTAATTTAAATCACAGTCAGGAAGACAGCACAGAAAAGGAACTCTGATTCCACTGACAGCTAGGCAATGGGTTGTTAGAAAGGATTGCCAACTGTCAAACCTAACCACAACAAAATTGGTGTGTAGGGTATTGGCCAAGGGTATTGCCATCACTTTTTTTACCAACATTCTAACAACAATCTACCTAGAACTTACCAAATACCTATGGAAAACCTATAAATAACCAATGCTAACCTACTGACAACCTACCAACACCCTACTGACAACCTACCAACACCCTACTGACAACCTACCAACACCCTACTGACAACCTACCAACACCCTACTGACAACCTACCAACACCATACTGACAACCTACCAACACCCTACTGACAACCTACCAACACCATACTGACAGCCTACCAACACCCTACTGACAACCTACCAACACCCTACTGACAATCCAACAACACCCTACTGACAACCTACCAACACCCTACTGACAATCCAACAACACCCTAATGACAACCTACCAACAACCTTTTTATGATAACTTAGAAATTTGTCAYGCGCTGATTGGTTATTTTTTATCATCAATAAGAGGACAGACAGATAAAGCTGACATCAATGAGCGCACGCTCTTTCCGTTAGTTGTTTTGATCAGTAAAAATTAGAAGTTTTTATCATTTTTGTTATCGTAAAAAACAAATTGACATCCGATTTTTATGTGTCTGTCCTCTTATTGACGATATATTGCATTATCACATTGTCAAAGTAGTAAAAATGTGATGTCAATTGGTTAAATTGACAACCTATGGACAACCTACTGACAACCCACCAATGACCTAATGACAACATACCAATTCACCCTACTGACAACCTACCAACACTCTACTGACAAACTTCCAACACCCTACTCATAACCTACCAACAACGTTTTGACAACCTACCAAAAGCCTACTGACAACCTACTAACGACCTATTGACAACCTATCAACACCCTACTGAAAATCTACCAATGACCTATGTACCCACAACCTACCACAAACCTACTGACAACCTTTACACCAACAACCAACAACAGCCTACTGACATCCTACTAACACCCTACTAACAATGTACAGATAATCTCTGGACAACTTATCAACACCCAACTGACCACCTACTGACACCAATATTTGGGTTGGATTTTCTTACTATTATCAATGAATGAATAAAACTTACCAATATATTCAAATTCTTCCTTGAGTGCCATGCCATTATGTGAAGCACACTGTTTACAAATCAAGGCATATCTGTTGCTAGGACCATCTCCTACCAAATACTCTACAACCTGCAACATTTACGATGCCAATAATTAACAATGGACCATTGTTTTAAAAGGTCACATATATATGAATGAAGTACCCTTATGTCAAATTCTAATTTATATGTAACAGTGATGCTTTGGGAAAATTTATATTTGTCTGGAAGATGAAAATTTTCTCCAATTAACTATATACATCTCTATAATGAAGTCTTGATAGAGCCATACCATAGTTAATAGAGGGGAATGGTTATGAAACCTATTGTTATAGGTCTTTGTTCCCTTTTGATGTTGAACAGATTTTTGCTCATCCAAAATTGCAAAATAAGTAAACATAAACTTAGTCTATGGGATTATTGTAAGGAATATTCAAATATCTCTTATAAATCTTTAAGTATTTTGAACTAGCAGCCAAAAGAAGGGTTTTGGTCTGTTCACTCAGCCATTGCCAACAATGGTAAAACAATGGTAAAACAAAGGATTGTGCACAGTCACGCTTGAAAAAAGTGAACAAAGACAATTAACAATAGGTTTCATAACCATTCCCCTCTATTAACTATGACCATACCAGAAATTTATAAGGGGGTTGAAACATGTAACACTATTACCATGCTCAAAAAAATTCAGATATGAAAATTAGGAGTTTAGATACCATATTTGGAATTAGGAGTTTGGTTTCAGGTTGGCTGCTTCTCTCACACATAAATTTGCTGAATTTCGTGACTTTCAGAGAAAATTATATCATCACTCTATAATCCCATATAAGCAACTATCATATTATTTTCAAATTCTCTTTCCTGTCCAAATTAAAAATTAATTTGGATCATTTCCATTCGCATTTTTCTTGGGACAGCTAAAATTATCCAATTACTCAGTAATTGGATAGTTTTTATCAGCCAATCAAAACTCACGGGAAACAATAGAAATTGACTTGGAACCAATCAGTGCGCGACTTTCGCTTGCCAGCCAGCCTTGTTTACTTTTTTCGTCTTGTAATTTTTTCAAAATGGTGGAGGAAGTTGTAAATTGGATCTTTTTGAAGACCTTTTTAGCGTAAAAAATGATAATATGGTTGACATAGATAGATGGATAGTTTGAATGAAATGTGCCAAAGAAATGTTAACAAAAACAAGAAAAGAACTGCCACTTGGATCAAAGTATTTGACTCCTGGAGGATGGTAAGACAAGAAGAAAGGCACTTAGAAGATATCCCCATCAATGAACTCTCTCTTAGGAATACTTTGATATAATTAATCTGCAATAGGACTACATGTTTGTCCAATTTGGAAATAATTGAATTCAAAAAATTCCTCTGGACTGCCAAATTGGACTCAGCCTATCGGCCTCTTCCAATTTTGTCAGTCCTCGGAATTTTTTTCATCAACTGTTTCCAAATTGGACAGCATGTAGTCCTATTACCTATGCTAATTTACTGAACATTTCAGATATCGGTCTTTAATTCGTTTTGGTAATTTTTGAAGCAAAAGGTCGTGATTTACTGGAAAGAAATTTGCCAAGAAAAAATTGAATATTCCAGAGCATCGCACTAAAGAAATGTATGGCTGTTACATGTTTTAATCCCCTTATGAGATTCTGACCATACCTTATCCATAGTTGAGCGTTCTCGTGGTAAAATGGGATATGCTGGTTTGGGCGGCCCTGGAGGTCTTGGCGGCCCTAGAACTGGTATTTGCTTGCCTTAATTAAAAAATTAAAAACGTATTAATTATGCAATATAAAATGAATTTGGGATTAACAACCTATATTTGCAACTGCATTTGATATTGTCTCCAGAGTCTCATAAAACATATTCATAAAGCCTACTTCACCGCAAACCTTACCACAACGGTTATTAAGCACTGAAGGCTAATTTATTATCTAAGTAACTGCTACACCACCTATTAATATTACCTACTGCAAAAACACCTAATACTTAAGTATGATAAGATCTATTGCACTACCTGAAGAATCAAGATTAGACAAACTATTTGCCCTCTGCTGGACGCTGGGGCTGTTTATAAATGAAGTGTCTGATGGACCACCTGGAGATGGTCCTCTCTTTGGGCTGTCTAGGAGTGACTCTGTTAACGAAGGTACAGATGTTGCTTTCTGTAATGAAACATTAGGGCTCTGTACATTTCCAGCAACATTTCTTCTTCTTAGCTCTGCCAAACAAACAAATTTTACTTTGGTTAAACATTTTATTCTCTATCTTGCATCTGATTGGCCAAGAACATTCAGCCAAACCCTGACGGCATGTGAACTTGGATCGTTAAATGTATTATCTGTGACATGAATGAAAAATGTCTGGGCATGCTCTGAATCCTTATGTGAATTATTCAAATCATATGTAAATTTGACTTTCAAACATGCCTGATAAATTGGACTTCACAAAATGCCAAAACTTAGTGTCCATGCTTGAAACTYAAGGCTAATTCTTTCATATTGTGTTTGTTAATACAGTATCTTGGTCTGACAAAAGTATACTCTCAAATGTTTTTGTATACTTGGGGAAAACAAACATTTATTTTCTCACTCAAACTCTTCAAAATTCTCATAAAACATGCTGATATGCACACATGCGCAAACGTTTCTCAATAGTATCGACAGCATGTGAACTTGGATTGATAAATGTATAATCTGTAGGTTTTTCTCAGTTCACAAAATTTTTATAAAATCTTTCAGTCGCAGGTCATGATGACCAGCCAAATTTCGATTAGTTAAGTTTGGTCATACCTCGTTTCTTCCTCAACATTACTGGACATTAATTTCAATTGTGGCTGGGCAATATCCCATTACTTGTTATTATTTTAAACCCTGGGCCCTGTTGTACGAAAGGTGGATAGTGGATAGCACTATCCAAAAGATAAATCCTTATTCAATGGGTAAATTAATGCTGTTATGCAATAAATTTATCCACTGGATAAGATTTATCGTTTGGTCTCTGATGTATCCATTTATCTAAGGTTAATCTAAGGTTATCTAAGCAGCATGCTTGTTAAAATATCTATTACTAGTCACCTGTTGCCTGGTCTGCCATGGCGGGGCTCTTTGGACTCACAGTTGAAACAAGTTCTTTTTTATCCATCTATAAAATAAGGGAAAATATAACACTGAGTTCAAAATGATATCTGACATCCAATCAAACTAGCACCTTGAAAGGTGGGACTGTGTGATGTTGAGGGTTTTGGGTTTTTGCCAACATTAATTTTAAAATACCAGCTTAATCTCCCCTCTACTTCTCCTGTACTGACCCTTTTAGCTTGGGAGTAATGTAGAAATGTCACTGTTAAATCCTAACTATTTATTTATTATATAGATAGCATAGTATGTGCCCGATGATTAGTGGAAAACTGTGCTTGATTAGTGAATGGAGCACAGTGCTGATTATTTCCACCAGCGCAAAGTGTTGCTAGATCCTGGGACTGCCTTTTTTGCATAAATGAATTCAAAACCAAAATAAAGTTAGTAACTATATAATAAAATGAATAAAACAGCTTTTTCTGTGCTATGTTCACTGATAAAGCACTTAGGAAGCGCCGTAAGCACTCAAGAAGAGTGCTCGTGCTTCTTTCCACACTTCTTTCATGATTAAATCACTTCTTGCGTGCTTTATTACTGAACAGAGTACAGAAAGAGCTGTTTTATTAGCTAATTATTTACTTTGTTTACTTTATTAGATATAACYAGCTAAAAACTAGTGTGAGCTGCGTCGGTGTTTCTAATGAAACAGTAATGATGAAAAGGTAAATTATACACCGTGAAAAGATGAAAAAACTTTACTGACGTTTTGGACGCTAGTCCTTCGTTTACTCCGACGAAGGACTAGCGTCCGAAACGTCAGTAAAGTTTTTTCATCTTTTCACGGTGTATAATTTACCTTTTCATCATTACTGTTACTTTATTAGGAGGGATTTCAGAATATTTTGGAGTAGGTGATCATAAGTCTGAAATAGCTGACTGTGATCTGATACAAGGAACAGAAGGTATTTTATTGACGAGAAAACGTGGCTGGTGGTTAACTTCTAAGCAATTGCTGGAGCCCTGGCAGCTGCTAGCTTATTCTGAAACCCCTGTAGTATTATTATTTGTTTTTGTTTGTTTGCTTGTTTCATTTGTTTGTTTGCTTATTTATCTATTATTATTAAATCAAACAATTATTACCAGTATATTCATAACTCACCTTGTTTTTGTTTTGTTTGTTTGTTTGTTTACTTGTTTGCTTACTTGCTAGCCTGCTTATTGGTTCGTTGGTTCGTTTGTTTATTTATTTATTATTATTAGATCAAATAATTATCACCAGTATATTTATAACTGACCTTGATGATACTTGATTCAGGATCATATTTTTCTAAGAGCTCTTTTGCTGTTTTATAAGTTTCCTTTTCCATCACCTCTTCAAGCTTTCAGGAAAAAAAGACATTGTTGATTGAAAATGAGAAATAAAATTTACCCACCTACCAACGCCTACTAACGCCTACTGTGTTACAATATAATATTATTATCATACATAAACATAATTACATAAACTTTGTTATCATGTTGGTAGGCCTTCTAGCATACCACGAGTATAATAGGGGACAAATAGGTTATGAAATATTTAGGTAGCATTTTATTGTGAATTTAAAAAAAACAATAAATGGTCATAACCACACATGTATTGATAATCCCTTTCACAGTTCCCTGCGCCATCTTGAAAGGTAGCCGTACCTCAAGGCTAGAATGGTGAGCTTGTAATGACAGAGACATGGAAAGTGAAGATGAAGGTGTTAAGATCGGTCTCTATTATTGCAAGCTCACCATCTGTCTCGCCTTGATGCAAAGGCAGGCTACCTTTCAAGATGTCTCAAGGAACTGTGAAAGGGACTATTACACTGTTAAGCTGTAGGATTAGGACTTACAGTCTGCTTCTTTTTTTCTTTTAGCTCCTCTAAAAGTTCAGCTGCAAAAGATAATTCAATTCTAGTTTATTTGACATTATAAGATCAAGGAACTAAGGTAATATGAATTCTTTGTATTTGAACTTACCATTCTTTGTCATTCTGCTGACAAATATATAGTGAAGTAATCTTTTTACACCATAAATACTGCCAGGAAAAAGCAATAAATATTAGATAAACATTAGATAAACCCAACTAATGTGTCCTTGAAGTCTTAATGAGACTTGGTAGCTCAGTGGTTAGAGCATGGCACCAGAATTGCCAGGGCACGGGTTCAAATCTGGTTCAAGACTCAGAATTATATCTGAGTCTTTCAATTTGCAGCTGCATGCATAAGTTGCTTCATATACTGCGAAGATCAGCTCAATTTGATACATTACAACCGCAGTACAATTATATATTTCATATATATATTATCATACGCATAAACGTTAGTMATTTAATTTACAGTTAGTCAAAAAAGAAGTTTTTGTATAGTAATTACTGACTTCCAGCATGTACATGATATGACATGCTGTACATAACAGTTAAATGGCTTCCCATTGTCTTCCAGCGATTTATTTCAACAACAATGCATAGTTACGGCATGATTATACAGCTATAATCTTTTTAGCCATTCCAAGTTTGAGGGAGTAGATAGGCCGAACAGTTTAGGGGACAGATTTCTAAAATGGTGTTTATTTTGTCCCCAAAGCACAGGTGGCGCAGCCGTGAGAATGCTCACCTCCCACCAATGCGAGCCAGGTTTGAGTACTGCCGGGCTCGGTGTTATATGTAAGTTGAGTTGTTTGTTGGTTCTCTCCTGTGCTTCAAAGTTTTTCCTCTGGGTTCTCCAGTTTTTTTTCCTCCACAAAAATCAACTTCTAAATTCTAATTCAATCTAGGAAGGGCCTGGATGAAAATTTTTCTTGCAAAATTGTGTAATTTTCAAACAGTCCCACAGTGCACTGCAATACCAACCCAGCCCAATTATTATTAGTTATTAATTACTATTATTATTATCATTATTATTATTATATTAGCACAAGACTTGCCACACAACCATACATTTCTTTGTAATTTATAGTATTAACAAATAAAATTTTCTTTCAAAATATTGAGCATATTACTCTCAAATTTTCAATAGTTACTAAATAAGACATTCTCTTTCGATCTCTGGAGTTGGTTTGCTTGTAGCAAATAAAGATCAGCCTATACAGGTAATACTATGTACTTACAGAAGAGGGAAGATAAGAAGGGGAATAATCCTCATTATTCTGTCTCTCCAGTTGGTTGGGAAATATTTGAAATAAAAGATTACTGCCAATAATATATATGACAAGACTGAGTAAATCAGTAGCCTGCCAATGTACTTCTTGCGCATTTGCTCATTACGACGCTGACTGGATTCCAAGGCAACAATATCCTGCAAAATGTTTAAAGATTTTTTATGGATTAAATTATGATGATTATGATTTATGACTAATATTATTAGTGCACTTTTCTATATGGATATAATCAAAGATGATTTACATTGTGTTGTGAATAAATATCAGATTGCTTTTTATGTAATACGAGCATGAGAAATGGTTAGTATGAGATGTAGGCACTGAGGGTGGTCAATGCCAGGGTTTCTTCATATCCTCAGTGGTTCTTTTACCTCCCCCAAGTTTAATGAATTACTAAAGCACATGTGAAAAATTAATGAGTGTCATTGACAAACTGATTTAAGAACTTCACCTGTGACCTGAATCTTGCCCCCATTCCCACCCTCTCCCTTCGCAATAGGGATTTTAAACATTTTCTGCGCAATCGCAAATGGCGTCAGCAACTGTACTTCATTTACTAAATACAGAATAGTCCTGATTACCTACAGGTGAACATAGGACTGTGCATGCCCTGTTTGTTGATGCATGCCGTTTTCAAAATATTTTATATTTTGAAATTGAAATATCTTAATATCTTAATATTTAAAAATACTAAAATGATTATTCACCTCAGGCTTAGTGATTATTTGTGAATATTACCTCTCAGCTCAAAGACTTGCTGCTCTGTAAATTTCACCAATAATCACTTCCTTTGGCATATATGAAGGATGACAAATCACAATATTAATACTCCATTTTACAGTTCCGTTCAGTGACCACAAATGATAGTTCCAAGCTGAGGTTGGAGTTGCTGTGCATGATAAAAAGTATAGTTTTGCTATGCCTTCACTTGGAACTATTATTTGTGGTCACTGAATGGAGCTGCTAAAAGGAGTATTTATACGAAGTGCCCATCTAAGTTGAATTAATTAGAAAATAACAAATTCCTGTAACAAAGATTACCACATTTACATGCATAAACAGTTAAAAGTTCAAAGATTGGAATGTGGCAATATCTGGGCAATGTCCAGTACAAGCAAACAGGACGTGAACTAGCGTATTGCTCAATTCATTACAAAAATAAAATACACAATAGAGCAAAATTTTCAAAACAAATCAGTAAAATTGTTCCCTTTAGACAAAAGTGGCATAAATTAATAATTCCTGTAGCTTTGGTATGGTCGAAATCATGATAATTTATCGTAAACATGATAACAATCTAACGAATTGAAAATTCAATATGAGAATGTACAAGCTTTATAAAAAGAGACTTTGGATAAACAGTGATAAATAGAAGGGTCCAAATATGTAAAAAATACTTCATAATTTAATATATAAAAATATGAAACTGAATATCTTAATTATACAAGAACTGTACTCTTTATATCTAGTTTTTATTTGTTCTTACCCAAAAACACCTGATAGATTCATCGATAGTAAAAGTCAAGATTTCAACACATAAATAAATGAATGATTGCTGAAATACCTTTTGTAAAGCCTCTAGAATTTCACCTGACGTCTCTCTTTTCTGTAAAGTGAAGAAAATATATTAAAATAAATATAAAAGGCGTAAAGGTTTGTGAGATAAAATATAGTTTGATTAGCTGCCAAGTTCAACTTTACAACGCAAATTTGCAACTGAAAAAATATAAAATCTATACGATCTGATATTCTTTGAGAAAAATAAAGTTCTTACCCTCCATCTTGAAAAAAACAGCCCCATTTGAACAGTTTATAGGGTCAAAAACTGTAGAATAAAAAAAGCTGTCTCATTTCCTACTTCAACTTTTGGTCTGTCTATGAATAGGCGACTTGCACTAAGAAATCACGTGATTTCTTAGTGCAAGTCGCCTATTTATAGCAGGCGCCAAAGTACACCTTTTAGGCATGCGCACTAGATTACGGGAAAAATCATACTGGATTAAAGGGAAGGTGGATTCTACGGATTGCCTAAGTTAATCAAAACTTTAAATGATTGTTATAGTTTTGCTAAATTTCTTTACGTATGCTTCCAATGCAATATGAAAACTGCTGGAATATTGAAATAGTAGGACCAAAGTCAGAAAATGGGCTCTACCAAATAAAAGGCAACATTTCACAAGCAACAGCAGATTTTGTAAAGACAATCAAACATCAATCAACATGTCATCACAATGGAACATGACAGCACACCTTTAAAAGCTGTTCTGCAGTTGAATCATTGATATCAATGCTCCATTTTACAGTTCCGTTCATCGAACACAAATAATAGTTCCAAGTGGAGTTGCCAATCATGATAAATAGTATAGTTTTTGTATGTGCAGAAACTCTAACCTCAACTTGAACTATTATTCATGGTCACTGAATGTAACTGTAAAATGGAACATTGGATACCATCAAGCTAAATTGGATACAATTATATATAATTCTATGAAAATTGTCAAAACATTTCTATCTGATGGTAACATGAGCTATGTGCTTATTGCTCATAAGCTTTTGCAGTATTCTTTCCAAAAACAAGAATCTGCAAAGGCTTACGGATGCAAATTATCCATACGTTTATTCTTGGAGTCGTAGAAGCTTGCCTCCCATCACTCTTTAATATTATTTTTTCATAAGATAATGATAATAATAATAATAGCAAAGTCAGGCCTTTGATATAAAATATTTAAGCTTTATTTTGTTATAATTGTTTTTGTTGCTAATTAAAAGTGCTTTTAACTGTTATGCCTGCAAAAATATATGTTCTTATTTACAATTATTCATACAATTACTAGGGCCCTACCTTGTGAATGTTCAAGCAATAGTTCATTAAAAAATTATGTTTTATCCTCCCATATTCAAACACTGTCTCCTCTGCAGACAACACATGGTTCCGACTCCCCTAAGTTATCGTTGCTATTCCCCACAAGCTAAACAAATTAGCTAAATTATTTCAGAACTTAACTCATGGAAAATATATTATGAAGTGTTTAATTGTTTGCTGTCCTGTGAAAAGAAAATTGCAGTGCTCTTTATAACATACTGTGTAGCTGTTGCTTGAGGGCTAAGATTTTAATTTCACTGGGAAAACTGCTGCAATGATATTGGTTTGTTATTGTTCGAGTTGGAATTTAGAACTCTTGCTTTACCCTTTTTGGGAGTCCTGTGTTGTTAACATCAAAGGGACTGTAAGCCAGAAACCTGATTACAGTTTGCCTGCAGAGGAGACTGAGAGGAGGGCTGAAAATAAGTACTGATTGTCAGTCAGGTTTCTTAGCCAACTTTGAGTTGAGTGGGATAGAGGATGTGTTTCGTGAAATGCCTTTCCTAACTATTAATATTTCTTGGAGAAAATCAAAGCAAAGTTTGTCACATCTTATGCTTATTGAGATCACTTCCAAACCAGTGTGTTTACATGCATAGAATCATACGATTTTGCAATCATGGCTAAATAGGGTTTCAGTGCATGTCAATCAAGGTGTTTCCATGACACTGTCAGAAAACATGAAGCTTTCAAGTGCACATGCCTATGGAATTTACGGAAATGAGATTGACATTCACCTCAGTCTACATAGCAGCTCTCTAGCCCAAACCTAATTTGCTGCCATGACTAATCTATTAAGAACGACTGCAATAATTTGAATATTTAAGACTGGGTCACTGCATTTCATTGTCGTACCTGTTTCAATCCTTACCCCCCTCTCCCATAAGTCTTCCTGATGTCCTCATCCAGGGAACTCAAAAAGACTTCACATACAGCAGTGTGCCTGAACCATGGCATTTTGTACAAAATTATGTAAATTGATAAAGCTGATAGAAAAATAAGAAATTTTACAATTAAATATCCCAATTCTGAGTTCTCCTTACTCATGTAACATATACTAAACCACCCATAACTCAGGATACAGAATATGTACAGATACATATACAAGTGCCTTTTTTGACTTGAGAATATTTGGAGGCAGAGGATGAGAAATCAACTCAAAATTGGAGTAATAAGAATCAGTAATGCTTTTTCAAGTACCAAATGACTGGGGTATTGCCAGTTAAGCTAGTTACAGTGCAACTACTATAACCAGGGTCACTTAGACAGTGAGAACCAATCAAATTGTAGAATTAAAACAATACAATCCCACTTAGGGCATATAGAGGAGCCAATCAGAAAGCAGCAGAAAACAATAGCCTTTCAACATTTTAATTCCACGAGAATATGACGATGGATATCTAGTTGTCTACATGTAACATCAGGGTCAAATTACAATTCTCATGCACTCTAGGTTTCTGATTGGCTCCACTACCAAAAGTTATAATGTATTGTTTTCATTCTACATTTTAATTGGTTCTCTTGCCTAACTGGTCTAAGTGGCCCCAGTTACAGTAGTTGCACTGTAAAATAATGTGATAGACAGTGAAAATTATTCAGAGAGAGAAAAAACAAACAATACTAATAGTTGATTAAAAAAATATTTCTAGGCACCATATTAAACAGCTTCCACATAATTTCCAGGAAACAGCCCACTTTGTCCAGATTCTTCAGTCACTCCTTCATACCATCCATCATCATTTTTCTTGACAACATAAATAAYGGTGTTTTCTGTGAAGGTTAACTCATCTTCTCTCATTGCTGTATAGTCATAAAGAGCCAAAACTGCAAATAGAAAATATATAGAATTTTTGATGGAAATTTTTGATTTCAACTGGGTCTCCTCACCATCCCCAAGGAACGTTCAGACTGTGAGCTGGTGGTGCCCTAACTTAGATCAGTCCAGAGATTGTTTCAGGATTCTATCTGTGATTTACCATAGCCATGCCCTGACTTAGATCAGCATGGAGGTTGTTTCAGGATTTGATCTGTGATTAAGCCATGCCATGACTTAGATCAGCCAAGAGATTGTTTCAGGATTTGATCTGTGATTTAGCTGTGCCCTGACTTAGATCACCCCAGAGGTTGTTCCAGGGTATTGATAAAATTTGAAGGTTAAATAATAATTTAGTATATTTGGTTATCCCCCACTTTAACATAACATATTATCAGTGACCTTCCTTGGCTCCAGACTTTCAATAGACATGAAATATTAAATTTTCAAAAATATTTACAATCCCCCCCCCCCCCCCCCCCATCCCCATTATTGTTACCAGAGAAAATGGTTTGCCTCCACATAGCTCCCCCACCTCATAAATTATGAACATTCTTGACCCAAAATGTAAAACCTAACTTAATAGGCCAATTGCAGAAAATAATCCAGACTGTCATTTTTTTTTCTTTATAAGATACTTTCAATTTCAGGATACAAAGCATTTCAAAGTCTGTTTGCCATCCAGTAGGTCCTTCCCCCAATAGACCTTTGGCTGAGTTGTTTTGTTARCAAAGTGATATATCAGCATGGAACTRTTTATAGCAAATGGCCTATTTAACCAATACCTATTCATCTCAACTCATGCATTAGTTTTAAGTGAACAAGTGCATTTTACAAACCTTTTTCTAGGTATTCAGCAGGAGCACCACTTTCTATCATTGGAGGTGGTGGTGGAGGCATTTGTGGAGAGCTTACGGGTGGTGCAACGTCATACCAGCCCTCTTCAGGTGGCAACGGCATAGGAAGTGAGGAGGGCGTATTGTAAAAGTCCTCTGGGGGAGGGGGTGGTGGAGGTGGACTCATCATATCTGGAAACAAAAACAGGCATTATTCTAGTAAAGACCTAATCTGCTATTTTCCCATTTCAGACCATGTGTCATTCCCTAGAGTATCATTTCTTTGTTTAATGGTTGTGCATGAGAAGACACATGAATATGGATACAACTCAAGAGAATCTTATTCTTAAGAGAATGACATGTGGTCTGAAATGGCTAAATATTATGCCCAACCGAATTTGGTCCATTACAGGTGCTGGAAGTGCAGCATCTTTGTAAGTGACATGGTCATGGTGTACTGTTCGCTAATTAGATCTGTGTTAAAATATGCATCAACAGTCTTGTCTAACCTGCCAGCCTACCTATCTCACATACTGGAATATTACAAAAATGAATGCTTTCAAACATTCTTCCTGGCTTAAAATATGGGGATGCTCTAGCACAATGTCAACTTAAATTACTACTTTAAAAGCACATACTCGGAGTAATTGGATGGAAGTAAATTTAAATCTATTTTGTTATGAGACAAAATAGACAACATCTTGGACATTTTTCCACTAAAACATTGCCAGAATGCACTGCAATACCAAATCAACGCTGCTTTTTGCTCAACCTTGGAATGGCTAATAGATACAGGGAGTTAGTACCATACTTTTCCCATCCATTAGAAAGCCACTTTGAGTATGTACTGGAAGATTCTTACCATCAACAGCTTCATAAGTTTCTTCTCCTTGGTCTTCAGGGGGTGGTAGGTTGGTATTCGAAGGGAATRGAGGGGGTGGTGGAGGGGAAGGTCCTCCTCCTACCATAGGTGGTGGTGGTGGAGCCACAGGAGGCTGAACAACCACCTTATTTGGAGTGACCATTTGTGAACTATGTACTTGAGGAGGAGGTGGAGGGATATGCTCTGTGTTTCCAATGCTAGCGTAAGTATCAGCACCTGAAGGAAGAGATGGTGGCATGGGAGGTGGGACAGGGGGAGGTGGTGGCTTGATTGGAACACGAACATTGCTGCGTATGTTAGCAGGGGTCTGAGCACTTGTAACAGAAGGTGTCCTCTCTTTGCGAGAGGACCTTGATTGGCGGCGATCTGACTGGCTCAATTTAACTCCATGACCTGCAATTGTAAATATCAAGTTAAAGATTAAAATTATGATTGTGCATGGGCTCTCCTCATCTCTCCCTCATTCACAACAACTCAAATTGCTAAATTCAAGCTTGATCTGGAAGGTAGCTGTTCCCTGGCTTTGATTAAGACTTTAGTTCAGAGTTTGATAAAATTCAATGATGTTAGTTTAGGCATTATGCTGTGGTGGGTTGCATATGGAATACTCAGTAGTCAATTGAAAATGAATTCTGAATTCTTCATAGTGTTTAAGATAATGTGATTGAGTTACATGCAAGAAACTTGAGGATTCAGGGGAGAAAACTTAGGCCACCAGATTTGATTTCTGAATTCTTCATAGTGTTCAAGATAATGTGATTGAGTTACGTACAAGAAACTTGAGGATTCAGGGGAGAAAACTTAGGCCACCAGATTTGATTTCTGAATTCTTCATAGTGTTTAAGATAATGTGATTGAGTTACGTACAAGAAACTTGAGGATTCAGGGGAAAAAACCTTAGGCCACCAGATTTGATTTCTGAATTCTTCATAGTGTTCAAGATAATGTGATTGAGTTACTTACAAGAAACTTGAGGCTATGCCACTCATGCCACCTATACATTCTAATAATTCTACTCACCAACATCATCAAGTATGCTGTAGTCCACAGGTTTTCTTGAATATCTTTCCGGCTTTTCCTGCTTGGCTGGAGCTATAATCTTGTGGGTTCTTGTTGTGTTTTTACTAGTTGCTAAAACCCCTATCTCACGTCTGGCTACTTTTTCTTTGTGGATATTAACAATCTGAAAATTAATAGAAAGCACTGGTTTTAGTTTTAATTCTCCCAATGACTCTATTCCTAACTTTATTGCGTTTGGCTCATGTTATGTTATTGGTAATAATAATAATGTAGAATAACATGGGTGGAGTGCACTGTTAATGTTCCACCACTCTGGCATGCTTAGTGTCATATGTTAGCTGAGTTGTTTGTTTGTTCTATTCTGTGCTTCGAGGGTTTTTCCTCCGGGTTCTCCGGTTTTTCCTCCCTCCACAAAAATCAATTTCTAAATTCTAATTCTATCTATTGGCAGCCTTTTCAATTGGGTTGCAAAACCTGTTAGGCATCAAGCCATCCACCCAGGAATGGTAAATGTATAAGATTTTTTAGAAAACTCTAAATTTTTATAAAAGCAATCAAATGGAGGTTGGATTAAATATAAAACAATGTCAATCAACATGTATTACGCCGGGCATAAATGATCCAATCAGTAAGGTTGGTAGTTTCAAAATTACTAATCAGACTTGGCAAGAATATCAGGGTTGATCAAACGGATTAAAATAAATACTTTTCAGCATTACGTCACTTGTGCCCGGCGTGTACGGAAATCCCTTTCTCCATGGGATTTGCCTTCGTTTCATTTTGATTCTATAAAAGGATATCATATATATGATAATGTTGTGGACAGAGCTAGAGAGATCCACTTCCCAGATTGTCACTTTTAACTAATATCCTTGTAATTAAAATAGATACTAGAAGTCATAAAAGTCACTATAACATTGAGTAGGGTTAATCTTTACGAAGAATATCGTAAGTTGCCCCCATTATATTAAAAAACAACTAGCGATATAAGGCAGTAAAAATGCTCTTCAAACTAGATTACTATCCCTACCTCAGTTATATGGTTAATTTTTGATTCCATAGTCTGCAACTGAAAGGCTTGCTGATCAAACAAGTTCAACATATTGACAGCTAAAGTGTTTATCTGGTAAGCAACACTGGCCAACGACTGAGTGGCGAACTGTTTCGTTTCGTTCAAGACTTCTCGAGTTTCTTCGCGCACTTTTGCCTTGTCAGGAGCCCCCTTGTACCTGTTGTTTGACTCCTGGTACTTTTGTTGACAGTACAGTGCAACTCTATCCAAGTTTTCGTGTCCATCTCGCAGTGCTTTCTTCCCCTCAGGGATTTCTTTTTCGATGAGAGAGAGAATAATATTCTCAACTTCCGCCATCTTGGACGGAACGCGCCGACTGCATAGCTTTGTGGGTAAATATTGGGTGGATCACAAAAAACCGAAAAATATTCGGAGAGCATTCGGGATTACGTCGGCTCCTTATATCATCTGCAAATAAGCTGCAAATAATATAAACTACTATTTTATGCTAGATGTAGAATTTTTAAAGCTAGGCAGGTAATTTCAAACTCCATAAAAGCATATATTCATTAAAAATAAAGACAGGGTAGAATGTCGAGGGGAGGGGTGGGGAGGGTGGGGAGGGGTATACAGAAGATGACCATTCACGTATTTTTTATTTTCTACAGCAGCTTCAAATAGTTTTATCTCACTACATTTTTCTTGTCAATAGCACAGATTCGTCAAATTACAAATATGAATGTTCGCAGCTAGCTGTAATTTATTTAATATTTAGTCAATAACTTACTCATTCATATATTGATTCATTCATACGCTTACTCTCTGTAATTCACTTATTTATTCATTCATTCATACATTCATTCACCTATTCATTCATTTATTCACCCATCCGTTCGTTCATTCACTCATTTGTTCGTTCGTTCGTTCGTTCATTACGCTTCAAAGTTCCACTCGCTCTCTTGCTCTCCACATCTTGGTGATCACAACACTCGTGGTTGCAATACAGACGATCAGCCCTCCAATCACAGTCAAAGGATGCGGTTGCTCTTCAAAAAACACCACGTCGAAAACAAAGGCGAAGAGAATATCGACGTTGCGCATCAGAGCTGCTGGAGCTGCGTTTTCCAGTTGAAGGCCACGGTTAAGAGACAGGCTACCCAACACTCCGAAAATAGCTAAAAAAAGGAAAAAATCGCATTGGCTAATATTGCTATAATCATTAAGTAAAACAAAATAGATAATGTGCGCAGCTTTCCAACAGTGGCCGCCATGTTTGTTAACATATATCAAAAACAACAAATATGCAACAAACAAAATAACAATTTAGACCAAATCATTTGCTCGAGTGAGCCAACCGAGTGCATCCAAAAACTGACGCGTTGATTGAAAGAGCTTACATAAAAAAGGTCAACTAGTTCCCTGACGACCTGTGCGCCTTTTCCCCTCCCCCCGATTGCCTCAGATCGGTGCATGTATAAATTGTTAATATATACTGACCTACTGAGAGCATGTACCATCTCGCCTTGCCGCAGTCAGGGATGACAGGATTCTGGAAGATGAACATAGAGATACCAGAGAGAAGAGCACTACACCAACCAAAGTAGAACACATTGGTGTAAAAGCTGATGGACTTGTCCAAGCTGCGAACCATGATGAACGTTGCTGATTGGATGATTGCACCCAACGAGGCCACTACGTAGCCAATAAGACGATGCGTTTCTGTCATGTGACTTCTTGAATCTATGATAAATACGAAGAGTGATGAGGAATTTCAAAATTGGGCGTAGTGTTATATATCCAGAATTAATTTTCTATGGGGATACATTCTCCTAAAACACATGTTTGTAACATATAGAATATCAGGGGGAAGGAGGATCGAGGTTCACCAGTAGCCTAGTAACCCTGGTCCAGTAATTGTCTTTATGTCAATACTTCAAAAGCCTCGTAGTACGACATATGGCCGTGTTTGATGTGTACCGCGGACATCATGGACCGCAACGGCTCAATCTGCTTACTTTTGATTTCTTCTCCCTGTATTAGTGAGTTTATTATCGACTAACTACTACTAACATATACGACTGGTTAACCGGGTTGAATTTAAAGATTGTCACATCTCGGTTAGTTTGTTCAAAAGTATAGATCGTTTCGAATTTTTTTCGCTAGTTAAAAGCTCAAACAGCCCTCTCAGCAGGGGCGGATCCAGGGGGTGCAGGGGGTAGGCAAGGCCGGATCCAGGGGGAGGGTCGGGGGTCGCGACCCCCCTGTCATTCCTGAGGTCAAATGGGCTTCCTGTGGTAAAAATGCGACTGGGATTCCTTTGCCCACAAAATTTACCCCTGAGACCCCCCCCCCCCTTCAAAAAACCCTGGATCCGCCCTTAGTAGGGGAGGGATGTAGCTACCTCTTCAGGGCATTGTTTATGTTTCTTGAAGTGGAGAGTAGGAAGCATATTTTTTACAAGATCTATAGTGACGTAATTCGAAAAATTCAGTCAAGCCCCACCTTATATTTTCAGCTTGGTTACTTTTAGATAATACTACTGACACTCTTGTTCTAACTGATCCTGATCTTCACTCCCAAGTGGATTGTAAAAGAATGTAGAGGATATTACATGGCCGAGAGCAGATAGATGAATTTTATCTTCGAGTGTTGATGTTATATCGTGCAAGTGAGCCCAGCGAACGAGTAAGATATTCTCAACACAAGAAGATAAAATTTCTAAAAATTCTTACCAATGGTGTTATTTCAAATATGTAGATAGTATGTATATCCTCGATAATTATGGTATAAATATTAATCATATATATATATAAGTTTTACCGTGACTTACTAGAACTTCCAAAGATGAAGGTAGGCCGAGTAATAAGTATAATCCCAACCAAGCATAAGAAACTGGACGCGGCATCCGTTTTGCGCCATGACTCCTTGAGTATAAAATACGCGAGTAAGCCCGTGAATACTGGTGTTGTGGAGATAAAAACCGTGGCATCTCCCAGAGGTAGAAGGGTAAAGGCGCCATAGACGGAGGAGATTGACAAGAAGTTGAACGCACCAAAAAGAGTGAGAAAAATGCGCTGTTTTTTCTCGCCGATTACATTCGCACCGGCATATATTGCGGGAGGAAGGACGAAGATGGTTTGAAGGAATAGACGAACGAAAATGATCTCGAAAGCTGGTATGGTGGTGTTGGAAAGCTTGACGAAAAGCGAAGCGAGAGCAAAGAAAATCCCCGAGAGAGTAGTCAGAGCTAAACCAGCATTAGATTTGCACAAAAGGTTTAATTTACGCCAACATGACGGCCTTTTTTCTTGTTCATCGTGTGGTCTCGAGAGGCTAAGAATCTCGCCGAACGAAGAGAAAGCGCGGAAACTGTCGCTTTCGCGGTCGTACGAGGCGACATCCTGTTCGTTGATGCTACGCAATTGGCTACTTCTTCTTTTGGAAGACAGAAGTGGAGTGGATGATAAGTCAGTACTGCCCCTCCGCCAGTATGTCGCCGAGAATGGAGAACACATCACACAGCGTGTGGTAGGTATTCGAGACAGAAAGGAATGAAAGAAAAGGAAGATAAATTTGAATGCGAATCCTGTCAAAGTCGCAGTCTAGTGACGCAAGAGTCGTAGACAAAGCCTTCTATACGCGCAGGACACACCGAAAAGGACCTTTGTTTCGAGTTGTGGGCCTAGCAATATCGAAATCATGGGGCAACTGGTCAGTAGAGCTGACTTCAATTTTATTTTTACCAATAAAAAAGAAGACAGGAAATCTATGCTGAACCGACAAGACTTGTTGTGCACATGTCAGACCATGTGATGCCACTCTTGGAAGTTGATTCTTCCATGATAATTTAACATGCGTCATAAAAGAACAGTTCTCAAGGAACTAAGAACGGAAGAGGATATATGGGCTTTTTATAAGTTGCCGCTCTATATATTTAAAACATTTACCACCTAGGGGAATTAGTGTTCTGTTGTAAATTACCTGCAAATGTTCAAATAAATAAATAAAAAAGAAAGAAAGAAAGAACAAACTGTGACCCAATCATTTTATATTTTATTCCTTTTCTAAAGCATCTATTTACAACAAGTTACAATCCTTCAAATCTCTTTTACCTCTCCTATCAACCTGTTCCGACTATCAAAATTTTTGCACTTCGTTATAGTGTTTTTCTTTTTAGGGAGAATCAATAAAATTCAAAGTTTTAAAATTTGAGCGATTTTCGTTACATTCACATTATTTTACATTTGACAGAGTTTTTCAAGCACATTCCTTCCTAAATGATTTCCTATTATAATTTGTCTTAAAAAAAMCAAATTTTAGAAGTATCTCATAAGCCATGCAAATCTAATCGTTAGAGTAATACACGTACACAAGGAAGCTATTCAATTAACTCACATACAATCATCATTAATATTAATCGTCAATGAAATATCTATTTTCTAGGGTGATATCTTAATATTTAATCAAACAGAATAGTACATGGCCGGGCAGAGATACAGATTTTTTCCCTACATGGTGAGAATGTCTTACTTGTTTGCTGTGCTCACTTGTAAGAAATCACCTCAAAACTCAAAAATAAAAACAAAAGAGAGAGATTTTCTCATGTTGGTAATATCTAACTTGTTTGCTGAACTCGTAAGATATAACTTAAAAACTTAGAAATAGAATCTTTAGCTCTGCACATTCATGTAATATCCTCTATATGTTCCTTGCTGCACTTCATGATTATGAAGTTTGTCACACACGCACACATCAATAAAACACAAATCTTAAATTTTGTTATTCTTGTAAAAGCTTAATTTTATGATTACCAATAACATAATTAGACAGGAAACATGTACAAACTGACAAGATATCATGCACTATGTACAGCTTAGTAACTAATGGACATTATGTTACTCTGGTAAATAATCATAAAATACTGGTTATCACTGGTAACCCCAAAAAGTGCAGCCGCTTATAGATATATGTATATATATATATTGTAATTCCTCCTTTGTATTGAAGAAATTCTGTCACTGGTGTAAAGAGAGAAATTTTTATTTCATTTGTGGCTTTGCCGTGTTATCCTTGTTGGTGCTTAGTCGTGGGTAGATGTCTGAAACTTAACACCTCTGGAACTAGGGTATGGGAACTAGTTACGCAAAATAGAAATTGCATTTTTCACTAAGGTGATAATTTCATAATGCAAAATTATACAAAGAAATAAAAAATAGGTGCTCAATAAGCGCATGTGGCTACTGCCATAAGAAATTATTGTTACCTAGGAAAGGAATGGAGGAAGTCGGTAGCTGACTTTTGAGATATAAGAAGGATATATAGGTAATTGAATTAGCGGTGTTGGTGAGAAAGATATAAATGTTAAAAGTAAAGGTTAATTACACATATACAATGAAATGTTGATATCAATTTTATGAATTTTAGGGCTGAAATTAACATTGGTAATGGGAATTGTATATTTTGTTTTATGTGTTTATGTGTGTTGTAAGATATCATTTGAAAAAGCAATAATTCGATAGGAGAACAACCACTTTATTTCCAAAGTTTATGGATTGAGAAATTGTGGGCTTCCTGTGGTGTTACGGACTTACTTACATAACTTGATGACATAGTGGCTTCGCCTCTACGAAGCAGAAGACACAACAACTGTACTCCAAATGTCCTCATCAATCAACCAATCAATCAATCAAGTTTTTTTATCCACAATAGACAGCTCAATTGGCTGATTTTCAGACATGCTGTGCAATCCATTTTTTGATAAGTGAAACATTAAAGCTACTGTAAGAAACTGTAAATCTTTCTTACGAGGTTATTGATTTTGCTCTATTTAATATTTCTAAACCAAAATATTGTCTATCAATAATTAAAATTGGAAACCATAATTTACAAATCAAGCATGGTATATTGTTTAGTGTCAAGTTTAGTATTAGTTCAATATTATTTCCTATAAGTCAGTGTATTTAATTAATATATTTTCAGTATTTTTAGGTTTGTTCTAATTTTTACATGCACTGTTTAATTAAAAATTTATTACTAACCCAAGCCAATGTGGGTATCTGTTGCCACAAGGGTGGCCCCCACTGAAGTTCAAAAGATACATTGAAAAATTATCATGTTTTTTACTTTTTCAGATTTATACCCTATTCACACCTAAACATGTTTAGTTAAACCATATTTTCATTAGGAAAAAAAATGAGAAACTAGAAATCTACAATTTAATGAAACTTTCTAAAATATTGTCAGAGCAAGACAAAGGATAGTTTACATGCATTATTTCACCAAATATTGTGCAGTGTTCGTAGATAGTTTTCCAAACCTGTTTAGTTAAACCACTTTAAAACATGTTTAAGCCTTGGTGTGAATGAGGTATCTAGTTTCTTTTTTCATTTAGCCAAATTTATCACTAGTACTCATATGACATTAAAAAAAACTATTAAACATGACAATCTAGAGCCTAAACTGATCCATGTATTTCCATTTAGATTATACATTCATTACTTTTTATTTCTATGTCTCTGGTTGTACATTGGCACTGTAATTCTACATCGACTTTCAGAGACAACAATAACTTTAAACAGTTTAATAATAACTATAATCATGGAAGTAGTGGTAATAATCTAGAATAGTTCCTTGAACAATATTTCAAGGTCTAAATTAATACTACAAGTACTCATTAACAACTTACTGTAGCAAGAAAATAATCATGGAAGTAGTGGTAATAATCTAGAATAGTCCCTTGAACAACATTTTAAGGTCTAAAATA